GAATGAAATAAGAACAGGCGGCGAAGAATAGTGAAAAAATAGGGTGGTTTGCATTAATATTAGACATAACTGGTTGAAGACTGTACCACCTCAGTCAACCGTGACCATGGGACCTGTATAGGGCCCGAAACGTCGGTTTGTTTGAAAAAACAAATATACGCGATTTAAATCCGAAAAAAAATCATTTCCTATAACTAATAGGGTTTCAGTTGAAAACCAAAATTTTGCAAATTTTCTGTACTTGAAGATAAATATTTCCATATAAAAATTATGTACAAAATCAGACATTATATTCTTAAAATAATTATTTTAAACTTTTACTTTAGCCTATTTTCAGGATTTTATATGTCGAATAAAGTACATCCTCTCGTATAACACATTAGCACATTCTTTAGACAATAATCTTGAAAACGTGCAGGCAATCTGTTAGTAACCTTAGACTTTCACGAAGACTTTTCTTAAAGCCAGGCTGACATTTTAATTGGAACGAATTGGCCTACCATAACATAAAACACTATAGCCCTGCAAGTATGTAAATAATACTCCATACATTAATCTAAGTAAATAAATGTTCTTTCCATTAAAAACACCGGGCAAAATCAAAACAACTCTATCCTCACGGTGCTAGTTGTAAACATTTAATAGATTTTTTTTAAAATGACACTCACCACCTATAGATCATCACTCTTTCTACCTAATATGTTTAAATAGATATTTACACAACATTATTCTAAAATATTACTACTATCAGCTTCTTGCTGATCTTGTTGGATGCTGCGACGCCATATTTGTCCGTCTTATGCACGCATGCGCTATGCTTGTGCCAATCCTACCTCAATAACTTTTGGAAACGTTAGGTGAGAAAAAATATTATTATAAGCAATTTGATTATAACGACTATGTAACGAACCCATTGATAACGACTCTCGATACCTTGCAGGATGTCTATGATTTATCATATTCAATTGTACCATCATAGCTCTATGGTACCATCCTACACCTACGTTGTCATAGTCAAACGTGAGACAACATGTCATTTACGGAAACGTCAAAGCTAATGGATTTTTCTTAGAGGATGGAAAAAAATAAAATTTTTATACAATTGCAAGTAATTCATGCCATGATATCTATGTACACATTATTTGATTAACGAAATATATGAAAATGTAATATTGAAAGGTAGATAATTAAAACAATTTAGCAGCAGCAGAACTCCTTGTGAAAGAGTTCGTCGAGGGAAGTACTGCCACCTTACCTATTTCTGCCGCCAAAGTAACGCCAAAGTAATGATATATTGTTTAAAGCTATTTCACACAAATAGTAAAATAGTGCGTTATATTTAATTAAAAATAAATTATTATGATAAGTGGTTGATAAATATTAGTGTTATTTATTAGGGTCGCTTCAAATTGTCACACACAGGCAATGCATGACGTTGCGATGCATTAAAACGAGCAGTGCAATATATACTTTATATGCTACGTGATAAGGTGACATTTCTTCAAAGAAAAAATGCAAAATAATAATCTGCAAACTGTGCAGCGTTGCGCCGCGCAACACTTTGCAAAACGCAAAATTATTCTCTACAAAATGAAAATTTTCTTTTTTAATTTAAAATTGGTAGAGAGTAACACCATACGTCGTTGGCACGTTTGTGTCGCCACGTGCAAACATAACTTAGATTCTCAACAATGAGATACATATTTTTTTACGGCGCACATTGCCGACGACAGGCTGGCTTTACTCTTTTGTTATTACGCATTCAAAGAAATGTATGTTTTATTTTGCAAATACTGTGTTTTGTAATAAATTGCATTTTGCCAAGTGTGTGTGGCGCAGCGCGTCGCCGCTTGCAACTTCTTCTTTTTAATTTTTTGTTTAAAGAAATGCAATATTATCGTGTAGCAGACAACGTTTATGTGACATTACTCGTTTTTATGCATCACAGAGTCGCGTTGCCTGGTAGCAGCAATATGAGGCGACCGTAAACGAACTGCTTAAAGAAAAATATTAATGGTTTATAGCGCGTTCCGTCGTTTCGTAACAAATCCCATGGCTAGGCTCATAAATCATATGAATTTTTATTTTTTGATTACTTTTTTAATTGAAAAATGGTACGTTACCAATCTTTATTATAAAATAACACTCAACGAAAACACAACAAAATCTCGTTCTTATCCGACTCCAAACGAACTACATTAACTTTGTTCCGATGAGGTTCTTTCCAAAGAGCAAACATTTATTTATATTGAAATAGGTTTTTATAAAGTTTAAATTTTGTCTATTAGGAACTGAAAACATTCCTTCTACGAACATAAAAATCAGACGCAATTATATACACAATAGTAACGTTTAGACTTGAGAAGTGTTAACATAATTTGCACATTTCAAGATGCACAAGAGTTTTGGGAAGCACAAAAATCTTAAGTTGACAGTTTCCTAAATATAAGTACCTATACGTATGTAAGTAAATATAGGTATCGCGAAAACTTAAGAACTCGATATGTATTAAGTATTTACGATTACATTTGCTTATATAATTCATAGTTTTAAAGAATTATATATATATATATATATATATATATATATATATATATATATATATAATATAAATATATATAATAAATAAATATCTAATTTGTCGCTTTGAGGGGACGTACTGGGTACGGTATTTCAGTTGTTTAGCCCCTTAGAAAAGCATACCTAACTCGTCTCTCCTTGGGGGACATACTGAATACCTGTGTACGGTAAGCCATATACGCGGCCCGGTTGCAAGATCTTTACGCCAATTTCGTCGATCAGGAGGCAGTAGAGCGTTTGAATAGCGTTATATTTCATATTTTTAATAAAATAATTAGCAGAAATACGACGTTCTTTTCGACTTCTTAGGTTTTCGCGATTGTTACACATAGGAAATGAAACTTTTTAAATATTTAACTATTTAAAGGGCCCGAAACATCGGTTCGTTTGAAAAAACAAATATACGCGATTTAAATCGGGAAAAATAGTTTCATTTCCTATACGACGTTCTTGTTTTGAAACTATTTAGTAGTGAGTACCATAGACAATATTTTTTTTCTCGTGAGTTTGGGTGTAATTTGTGGTTGTCTATGTGTGTGCATGGCACCCGCGACACAGGGTTTCCCTAGTGCGGGGCTATGTTGAGTGTGTGCGTTATTATTATTAAAAAAAAATGCTAGGAGGACGGGTTGATAGAGACGTGATTAAAAGTTTAAATAAAATACAAGATTAAGATTAAATTTAGCGCAAAAAAAAATTTATTAAAGATTACGATGCGGTAACTATATTTTTGAAGATAGAGGAAACGGAATTTCGAGTATTAACTTAACGCTACTTTTTACATGGTAAAACAATTAGGATATAGAATAAACTGAAAAAAATATTAAGACACAAATGGTTCACTGGATTTCGTTGTGATCGTACCACCACAAATGATACCGAGTGCCCAAGAAGAGTAATTAATGTAACCACTGAAGATATCGTCAACAAAATTGACGACATTGTTTCGTCAAACCGTCGGGTGGAGGATACGCAGGATTGATGACGCTCTGCACATCTTGACTGAAAGAGATGTTCATAATTTGCACGAAATTCTGGGTATGAAAAAGCTGCCTTTGCAAGATGGGCGCCGCGTTTGCTGACAGTTGATCAAAAACGACAGCTTCTATTTCGTTCCGCCGCAATATGAATTGAGCCTAACAGAGTTTTTGCGTCCGCACGTAATAGTAGACGAAACACGGATCTACCATTATACCCATAAAACGAAGCAACAGTCAAAGCAGTGGACTTCTACAAAAGAAGAGTTTTTTCGGTTGGTAAAGTGTGGCCACAGTAATGGGACTGCCAAGGGGTCATTCATATCGATTTTTTGGGGAAAGACAAGACAATAATCCAAGCTTACCGTGCTTCTTTGTTAGGTTAATTCAGAGTTATATAGAAAAGAAACGATACCATCTTGTAAAGGAAAAATAGTCTTTCATCATGATAATGAACCAGCTCACTCTTCTGCAATCGCAACATCAAAATTTGTAGAATTGCTGTACGAACTATTGCCCCGTATATTCACCAGATTTAGCCACATCTGACTTTTATCTCTTCTCAAATAATGAAGAAAAAGATTAGTAGACAAAGGTTCGCATCAAATGAGGAAGTAACAACTGAAACTGAGGCCTATATTTCAAAGCTTGACAAAATTTTTTTTTTATATGTAGAAGAAATTGGAACATCGGTCAAGACCTTAACTAAGTCGAAATGCATCATATACATATAAGGTCTGATTTGTATATGTCACCATAACATGTCCTTTAGTTTCCACAGTCTAAGGTCAAGACGTATAGAGTAAAAAGGAGATTATGTACAAAAATAAACAATAATTACCAAAAAAAATTTTAAAACTAATTTAATAAACATGTTATTCTTGTAACATAAATAATATGATCAATGCATAGTATACTTTCACCTACAATAGGTCAATGATAGTATGTAATAAGTGTGTATAAATAGTAATAATTAATAGATTCAGGTAGTAAATGAACTTGGTACTCTGCGAATCCAATGAAGGTTAAATCGTGCATAATAGCCGCGTTAGTGTTGAGTATTTGTTATCAACAACGACACTAGTGGGTACATAGATATCGTAGGTTAAAACAATTATATTTTACCAGATTTTCATTCATATGAAATATTACATTATTACACAAAAGGATCACGCCTGGGTATTTTAGAATAGATGGAAGTAATTAAATACAACAAATAAATACTATAAGGGGATGTATAATTAATCACATTCACGGGATTTAGAAAATCTACATTTCGTCTGATATTACTCGTAAGCGACTTGTAAAACCAATAAATTGTTATTATATATATTTAAGTCGTTGCAACACACATTACAATCACCGATAAAATTTTATTTTTGAATTGTATACAACGAATTCAGAAATCAACTTGGACCAAATCCACTGAACTTATGTACTTACATGCATAAATTCGTAAAATCGGCAACAAATCACCCGCCTGTTCTCTCCAGCCACAGGGACACGGACGAATAACGCGAACAAATTGCGAAGCTTCTAAAATGCTTCAGTTGTGATGACAATGTAGCGTGTTCGTAACTACTATACTGCCGAATTCCGGCGTAAGCCCGACAAAGTTGGTATTGTGATAAAACTATTGTCTAGTTTATTGTGAAATTCAGATAATAAGTACTGTCATCTCTAAACTGACTAAACTTAATATTGAAATAGGGCTTCAGTTTCGACTATTGTCCGGTTTTAGGTATTTCGGATTTTTGTTTCATTTGATCCGAAAGTTTACTGGAAAATTTGTGTGCTGTCCAGCTAGTTTTCGACCTATATATACACTCTTTTTGTAGATTTTTGTTTCGATAAATAAGTGGAGTTTAGTGTGTGGACACAGAAAATAGCTGCTTTAGAGAAATACCCATAATAAATGAACAATAACATTTTTCGTCGTCAACTTTATTGCGGATATTTTGAAATTATAACTAAGTAGAAAGAATTGATGACGTAGTTTACTAATTATTTCACATAGGCGATTAATACACTGCACCGTGTGCAGGTGCGACGGTGCACGAGACGCGGAATCACGCGCGCGGTGGCGGAGACGCAGATCTGCGTCAACGCGCGGTTTAATTTGTGCGGAGGCAGCAGCGGTCTAGCGGTACCGCGCTACTTTTAAAGTAGGTCTCTCTCACTCACTTCGTAGTTGATAGCCGTAGTGATTGCTTTCCATTGCTTTACTTTTTGGACGCAGTCACTGCACTCTTTACAAGTCATATTCCAAATTGCTGGTCGATTTTCAATAGCAAATATAAATTTATCAACGTCGAGATCCATTGTAGAAAACTGAACACGTCGTTATGCTTAAAAATCTGCGTAGTAGTACGGAGAAGCGTTGTCAGTGTGTTTTCCGCATAAACTGAGGTACTTCAGTACAACGTTAAAAAACGCAGCTCCGCGCTTCGTCGCGGGACACGGCCCCGTGTGTTAATCGCCTTACAAAAGACATTTCATTTAAAGACTAAATTGCTGCATAAACGAGATAAAAATTAAGAAATGCATAGTAACTTCCACGTGATTGAGTGAATTAATTCCATCACTGCCATTCCACTGATACTCCATTGAGACTCAACTGCCATAGAAACTAGACTTTAGCAGAATAACAAAACATATTGTCATAATTGCAATATAATCTCAGTGTAGCCTCACTGGAATAACCAGTGGTTTCAAGGAAATTTGCAGAATTGGGGCCCAGTACCTAATCAACACGCGCGTTTCAACACCCGGTACCTGATATTTACCGATAACAAACGTGTTACTATGATGGAAAATTTTTGTCCTAAATCTTATAAGAAAATAATTAATAATCTCAGTACACAGTACTAAAAAAACCTACCTCAAAAGTACGTGGAATTACATCTGTTTGCCAAGTTTTATTGAAATCGGTTACCGGAAAGTGCGCAAACCCAGATTCATGCCCTGGTTCGCCACTATACGGAACTTGACACAGGAGATAATAAAAATCGGTTCTCACTACTCAAAGTATTTTGAGAGAAAAACGCCTTGAATTGGAGAATAGCAAAATCAATCATTAAAATCATTGCTCCTTATAATAAAATTTAAACGTTATTTATAAAAATGAATCTTCATGCGTGAAGAGCCACCCTTAGAGATGGATGATTTTCTTCAAATTTAAATGGGACCACTATGGAGGTACCCTCTTTCCAACAAAAAAGAATTATCAAAATCCGTTCACATTTGGCGGAGTGTTAGAATTGAGAACCTCCTCCTTTTTTTAAAATCGGTTAAAAAAATATGTCGAACACTGGTGCTTCACGATCACTGGCGCCATCACTTTAATACTGCAAAGACTTAAAAAGTGGATGCGAGGTTGAAAATGTAAGATGATGTCAGTCAAAAACCATCAAGCTGGACACTTTCAAAACCGTTGTTACCGTAAACGGCATAGAATTGAGTTCAAATTTTAATTGTCAAGCATTGAAATGAAATATTTATTATAGTTCATTTCTAAATGTCAATGCTTAATTAATAGATTTTGCGGAAGTCCATGTTAATAAAATTGGAAGTGAATTAATTTGCTACTCCGCGAACTCGGTGAAGGTTAAATCGTGCAGAATAGCTGCGCTTGTGTGGAATATCTTTTCATGCAGTTGATTTTACCACCCTACTTCCACACCTGCGGAGGGAGTGGTCTAGCGCTATTCGTAATTAGGGTTTCTTACTTTTGCTTTAATACAGAGTGTAGTGAATCGCAGCAGTCGCTACAAATCTTTTTTGTATATTATATTTTATCTTTTATTATTTATATTTATTATTATTTATATTTTATTTATTATCTTTATTATTTATAGTCTTTTTCAAGAGTGAAGGATAATAGTGAGTCTTTTTATGTTTATTTTATATTTAAGTTCTAAAATTATATGTGATTGTTTCTGGCGCCTTTTCTTTACTATTGTTTTCTGTTTTGCTTTGATAGCTGTACGTGTTTATAATAAATTAATAAACTGTAAGTACATTTGCTTTGACCTTGCTTACTGCGTGCCTACAGCTTCGGTATATATCTGGAAAATAGGGAGGGCTGTACGTGTACGTGCACCCGCGTCGCAATTGATTTAATTGCGATTGATTTTAATTGCAATTGATTTTAATTGCAATTGATTTCAATTGAATTGATTTTAATTGCAATTAAATTTGCAATTAAAATCAATTCCGGTCGGTTGGGCCCCCCAACCGGGCCTCCAACCGGGCCCCTCAACCGGGGTCCCCATCTGGGGCCTCCAACCGGGCCCCCAACCGGCCCCCCAACTGGGCCCCCAACCGGGGACCCCAAGCGGGGTTCCCAACCGGGGCCCTCAAGCGGGGTTCCCAACCGGCCGGAATTGATTTTAATTGCAAATTTAATTGCAATTAAAATCAATTCCCCCCCCCCCAATTCAACCCCCCAACCAATCCCACCCGGCCCCCCTCCGGGGATCCCAACCGGGGCCCGCAAGCGGGGTTCCCAACCGGGGCCCCCAACCGGGCCCCCAACCGGGCCCCCAACCGGGCCCCCAACCGGCCCCCACATCCAACACCCTAACTCACCCCCATATGCCCTATAAATTTATCATAATTGTCAGTTTTAATTATTAATTCTTAATGTTTTTGACATTGAAAAGATTGAAAATTGATTAATTGTTAATTGTAGATATTTGCGATTAACGATTGATCAATTGTTAGTTGCGAGAACCGCATTTATTATTAATCAATTTTTAATTGCGGTTCTCGCAACTAACAATTGATCAATCGTTAATTGCTGTTTCGCAATTGACAATTAATCAATTGTCAATGTTTAATTGCCAGAACAATTAAATTTTGCCCAACACTGACCCGAATGATGTCAAGTGACAGAGGTATGTGACAATCTTGTACACTGGCTGATCTAGTGTCAGAACCTGAACTTGTAACGTTCCTATGCGCGCACAGACCGTAGTGCCCTTCCTGCATAACCAAGAGGTTGATAAGGAGGGGCACTATAAACAAAACTTATGTAGAATGATATGGGACTGACCTTGCTCACTCTTTGTTAGCACCCATCCGAACCCATTAATACAGTTCGCTACACAGAGTATATTGAAAAACCCTTTTTGCCCGATCTTTCCCTGAGAAACACAAGCGTAAATACAGTTACAAATACCACCACCAAAAATGTATCTGATAAAACTTAAACACACTTAACCACTCATTTAAAAATTAAAAAAAATTTCCTAAGCATTTTTCGACGATAACGAATATTTGTTCTTATGTTACGCGTAAGGGTTTGCTTATATTTTCAAACAAAATGAAGTCAGTCAGCCAGTATTTATAGTAATTTAACTAATCATTGCTTACACCTTTATTTATTTTTAAACCGATTAAAATGTTTTATATTATGTAGTACACAACATATAATTATTCATTTCTTGTAGTTACATCTCTTATTGTTGTACCTATCTGGTTATTTCCATTTGTTTTATAACACCCAGTCATCTTTCTAGTAGTACTAGATATAAAGAACATGTTTTTCGATAAGGGTGTGCGTGTGTCCGTAAAAAAAATTACCAGATTCCCATTTTTAAGAATCCTTAAATTTTTCGAATAAGGACACTCTTGTACATTTTCCACATAAGTTTTGTTTATAGTGACCCTCCCTACCGACCCTTAGGGTATACGAGAAGGCCGTTATAACATGTGCAAGCAAGCCTGCACAGGGACTTTATCGGTCAGATCCTGACCCAAGATCAGAGCGTTTACACAGAGCTCATCGGGTTCTCAAACGGCTTGTGCCTTGATTAAGGTGCCCCGGATGTAAGTACAGTACTCTCCCTGTTTTCCAGACAGTTACTGGAGCTGTTGGTGCGATCATTCCCCGTTGTGCAACAACGGTTGCCACCGCCGTTGACTCTAAAGTCCACTACCAAATCTCCACTTTGGTGGCGGGGATGTCGGCACGCTCCCGATGCGGAAGGGTCTCTCCAGTTCCCAGAGATCTACGTGTCTAGCGTCGGAGATGTCGGTCGCAGTGTCATAGCTTCCAACTTAAAGGGCAACTCATGTGCCCCGCAAGTCTCCTCGCCTTAGGCCCTCGTCTAGACCTTACTAAGACACGCTTGCTGCACGCGGGATGAACGCCCCGGCCACATGCTACCGGGGCAGATGAACGTGTTCATCCCTACAGCTAACCACAAACACCGGCAACCCATATACGGGTTCGGGCACACCAGAGACGCCCGTGAAGGCGTATCCCATAGTCACCTCATAGTATCAAGCCCGTAGTCTCTCCGGAACTATCCGGTCTGCGAGCATGTCATGGATAAACCTACACATTCAATGAAGTTTGACAAACCCCAGGTTCTTGCAAAAGAAGTCCGTTATCTACCCAGGAAGCTGCGAGAGGCCATTGAAATTAAAAAACATCCTAATTTCAACTGGGAAGATGGTTTCTCCTTACCACCAGTTTGGTATCCTTTGATGAAAAATCCCAAACAGATATAAGACTACAGTACCATTTAATATGTTGAAATGTATTCTAATTTTTATTATTAATTAATAATAAATATAACTTAATAATTGATATTGTTAAAATAAAATAATTTGTAAAACATAATGTGGCGTAAATTGGAATGTTTCTTTGTAAAATTAAATAATAACTTTTGTAACTATAGTTAAAAAATAGGGTGGTTTGCATTAAACATAATTGGTTGATGAGTGTACCATCTCAGTCAACCGTGACCATGCGACCCGTAAAGGGCCCGAAACGTTGGTTTGTTTCAAAAAACAAATATACGCGATTTAAATTCGGAAAAATAGTTTCATTTCCTATGTGTAACAATCGCGAAAATCTAAGAACTCGATAAATTCACATTATTTTCTACGTGTCATTGCCGATGACGACAACAACAGGGACATTTAACTACGGTAGGTCAATGATTGCATGCATTAAACCTGCAGTGGTGCGGTTTAGAAATTTGGTGTAACAGGTTTCCCAAAAACTACAATTTGGGGCTGTTTAAGTAAATATAATTAAAAGGTTATATAAATAAATAAATAAAACACAAACTACGCTTATATTTGATTAATTTAATAAATAATAATTATCACATTCACACGTACAAGATACACACAATATAATACAATAACTTATGAACTTCTATCACACTATTCAATTTATTAAATAATGTAATGTAGAGTTTGCGTTCAGCGCCTGTCGTGAGCAAACAGGCTAGTGCAGAATTGTTGCGTGTCATCAGAGCAGGCGCATAACGTTACTAAGTTCTATAGGAAACGAAAATGCTGCGACATTAGGCTCTAGCCTCGTACAATTATCATCATAATTAAGATATTTTTTGCATCGCGGCCTATGTTCTAGGTTACCTGCTTTACATGCCTATTATTATATAGAATCTTTAGAATTCCTAACGGAAAACAAAGACGTTGAAGAATGATTTTATGAAGACCTTTTTTGGACTTTATGGATGCCTTCAAATTAGACGCTCATAGAAGCGTTACTGTCGCGCTGCAACCGTGCCACTACTAATTCTCATACAATGTTTACAAGCACAGTTCCAGCGCCACAGTCTTGACACGCGTGTGCCACTTTTGGAGTTACGATTAGTGAACTAAAAATTACTAAAGTGCTACAGGCGCACGACTGCCGTGCGACAGTTGCGCCACTGCTGCGCTTCTACACGCGTCTAACTTAAAGGCACCTTATGACTTAGTTACTTGCATTTAAATAAATAATCGTCTTACGTGACTGTAACAGTTGCTGTGAAAATTTGCACTGGATACATAAATGGATTGTTTTTAAAACACCCAAAACACTATTTGTATAAAAAAATATTTATAACTTATCAATTTTCTGTCTATTGCAACAACACATGAACAAAGAGTCCTTAGCAGTAGGTAGAAAATTTAACAATTATATATATTTTTTTATAAAAAACAGTTTTTTTCTTGTCTTGAACTTGTCTTGAAAACTAACTAAATGTCCTTTACGTCAAATGATATTTAAACTTACAGCCGTGTCACAGGTAATAGGCATTTGAGTTGTTTACAAAATTTGAAATAAATCTAATAAATTAATGAAGCCAGGGCCTTAACATTTATTTAACATTGTTAAGTTTGTGGTAAAGAAAAAAATTTGGTGCATAGCCCCAAAAAACCACCTACTGCAATCAAAAATATACAACTGTTCAATCGTATTAAAAATTTTAAAAATCCGACTTGTGAGCAATGTTGTTCCAAGATTTTGAAATAAAATTGCCCGTGAAGTTTTTACTTCACTTATTATAAAAATGTTTTAGAAAATTTGAAATTTTGAAGTTGGATCGTCTATGTCAGAATTTACTGTTTAAAAATGTCTTTAGTTGACCCCAACCCTTCGCCTGTTAATGTAAAACTGAAAGTGACTAAATAGTTGCCGTAAAATACAGTACAGTATCTATGGAACAAAGTAAAGGGGATCGGAACGTTACTGTATTGATACTAAGGACGGAAAGTAGGTACATAGGTTACTGCAAACGACTGTTAGCGTCTAAAGATTTCGTTTATAATTGTAACAAAATCAAAAGGCAAAGAGACGCATCTACACTCAGCCTCTACGATTATTTGAAAAATAAAACGGAAAAAGTACAAATTATTATAATTTTAATCGATTTAGGAAATTCATTACTTTGTTTTATTTTTCGTACACATAAATTCTTCATTATTTATTCCAAATTCCACATTTTGAAAAAGTGAATGCATTATTGAGGGAAAGAAATTTCTAAGCTCTAGTGTAGAAAAGTACGAAAGTACTAGTGTTAGAGAAAAAAATAATTTTGTGCAGTCGCTAGCGAACACTTCAGAGCATAGCTCGCATTTAATACATGGAGTAAAACCGGGACAGACACCGCAATGGGATAGGTGCCTCGTTTTCAAAAAACCTAACTTCCCCAAATCGCAACAAAGAATAATTATTTTAAATAAGGAGTATAGACACCGCTCATCAAAGTTCCTGCAGGGCTTCGTGTGGAATAGACGCGTTTGGCTTATGCATGCGTTTATCCCCGCGACGAACACGACAAACGGTTAAAAATTTCAAACGCAAGTATTTACCGTCGCGTAACTTTGTAAGTTAGAATAAATTCCGTTCTATTTTTATTATAACTCTACACTGGTTCATTAACTGCGCACCTAGGTGTCAATAACAGCTCTTTTGTATATAGCTTACTTACATAATAAAAGGGCATCTATCTATGTCGAATAGGATAGTCGCCTCGATTTTTCGCGGTATAGGTGCCCTTAGGGGCAAAGGACAACACAAGAAAGTTAGGAAAAGAAAATAAAAAATACATTATTTTAGTGAAAAAGACAAGTAAATGTTAATAGTTTAAAAGTAAGTAAAAGTACTAAAAAGACAAATTATTCACAGTTCAAACAGCGAACATTTTTGTAAAGAATGTTTTGATAGCTACAAAAATACATATATATATATATATATATATATATATTTATTTATTTATTATCAAAGATGTAATATGTACATACAATATAATAAAGATTACAAATAAAACATTTTATTATGAATTTTACTACTTTATTCTAAAGGGTATCTATCCTTCTTAATATTTTCATCGTGTGGCGTCTATCCATGTAGGTAGGCATCTATCCTCAAAGAAACAGGTTTGCAAAAAGTCAATTTCTTCAAAATTAGTAAATATCAGACCAATACAATCAAGTTTTAATGTAATGTAAATGATTAAACTAGTTATATCCATAGGAATTATTCCTGGTAAACTAATAATTTTTAAATTAGGAGGCCCTTTCAAATAGTGGGGCATCTAACACGGTTTTACACTACCTATTAAAAGTTCGTTCTTAATAATATAAATGTTTGTAAAGTAAATTCTTATTATGAGAAAGAGGTGACTGAGTACACTAATGTTAATTAATATATTATCATTTCATTCGTATTTACAATGTTTCGGTATTATAATTAGATTAATCTACGTCTAGGTTGAAAAAAAGTGACAGAGTGTAAACTCTTCAGTCTTACTGTGTCGCGTATCGTGTTACGGCTAAGGGAAATGTAGAAAAAGAAGAAAGTTCTCCTACACTGCACTACGGATCATTCAAAACGGTGCAATGGCAGTTAAAAACTATAAATTATGATTTTTGTTTCACTTTTCTTATGAAATACAAAAAAATCCACTTTGATCGTGTTTTAAGTTATAAATGTATTTACTGTTAACATTATGAGAAATTAGTAAAGTCGATAAAATATATAAAATAAATGCAGGCAATTAAAGCGTGAGTCTTAAAAATAAGATAAAATTGGTTTGAGCAACAAGAAGAAAGAACTTCAATGGAAAATCAATAAAAATAACTTAAAACTTTTCAGGAAATATTAAGAAGAAAACGTCTGTAATTCAAGAGACGCTTCTATCTAGATTTACAACTCTATGCCGCTTGCAATAAGAACGGTCCAAAGTCCAAAGTGTCAAGCTTGATGTGCTCTTGACTATACTAGGTATTTGTGAAAGGTTCGATCCAAATAAGTAAAGCAAACTATTTTCTCCTGATACGTAGATTGAGGTCCAGGAATTAAAACGTTTCACTAACTTTATTTTTATTTCTAATTCTTGTTCAAAGAGGGACTGACGGCGGCGCTGGACAGCCTGAAAAAAAAAAATTACAAATATACGAATACGTTCATCAGCAAATATAATCAGAGCCTTGAGCATCGCCGTAAAGTTGCCTGCTGGTTGGTATTCTACAGAATATATCACGGAGAGTGTGCGATGTATGATTTCATTTCGCCATCCTCTTTCCATCAACGGGGGCCTAGACGTAGGTTGGTGTTGCCACCCCTATGTTGTGGATATTCCTAGGATTCGGGCCACAGTCGCCGCGCGAAGCGTTTCGCTTCCTCATTTATACGAGTACGACGAACCGTTAATGAGTGGAATTTCTTGCTTGCGGACTTATTCCCCGAACGCTATAACTTGGACCTTATCAAGGCGTGAGTGAATATGCATTATTTAGGTGTGCATGCTACATCGTCGACCTCATCATCACTATACATCAGGGAATTATTTTGTTGACGTTTGACTGCCAATCCCTATTGCTACTAAGTTACACCGTCCACTATCTCGGATGAATGAATACACTATATGCAATATTATAATGCAGCGGATTTGGCAACTATGTCTACGAATTTACTTAAAAGACTTGTATTACACTAATAGTCATAGTTACAGATTCTCTTTTTTCTCTTTATAAGTATTTGTTATATAATGTTAACATTATGTACAAAAACAATATACAACGTGTATGCGGTGTTCTCCTCTAAGTAATGGGGCAATTGTTTTTATGTTTTGTATAATTATGTTATTGTAATGTATATTGCACTTATTGTTGGAGAACTAAACAAATAAATAAAAAGGTGGCATGAAATTAGCATATAAATAATGTGCCAGACAACCACACCAATTGCTTGATCTCAAATTAGGGAATTCTCTGTACTATGAGTACCGAGCAATGGAATTCAATCTGGGGCACTTCCCAGAACACCCACACCAGAACTAATTTAGAAAAGTACATTTCCCAATTTGATCCTACCAGGAATCGAACCCGGGACTTCATCACCCAGCGTCATAGTATGGTGTATACTGTTGAGCCACCGAGATCGTCTACTTATAGGCATGAGCATATAAAGCAAACGTTTTATGTTTTTGTCGGGTCTTCTGGTACACTAGGTACACTATGCTATTGCTTCTATCTGTAACGATACTTACTGCAAACATTGCAAGCTATTTCATCGCTGTTATCGCCACAACCGTCGCGTCCCGAACATGCTACCGCCGTGCTTCTGCAACGCCCGTTTCCACATCGCAATGGACAGAAGTCTGCAGCCCGCCATCTGAATTTTATATTCCGATGTTAAGTTACTACTTATTTATTGCACTGTCAATTTTAAACAATTAAAGTTGATTTTTGTCGATTATATCAACCGAAAGATAAAATAATCAGTAATAGTTACATCGACTACTCTATTAGTATGGATAATTAAATTTAATAAATTAAATTTAGGCAACCATGAAGTAATCACAGGTTGTTCTTTATAAATTTTAAAAGGCTTAATATTTCACATCGCGTTATATAATCTAGATGTATGTAACATTGCATTTTCTATGGAAACAAGGTGTGGCACTTGTATTGTGCAATCTATATGTAAGCTTTGTGGCCGCTTGGCATTTTCCGTGGAAGCAGTGATTGCCACATGCGACCGCCTGATTTGCCGAAACTGCACCTTCGCCTCGTGGAAACTGCGACCGGCGTCGCGGCTCTGATCCACTCTGGTTCACACATCGATCGAGCATTATCGTAAATTGTAATTGTAATTTCTTTAATTGAAATAAGAATTATAATTGTAATTTCTTTACTTTATAAATTAAATTGTTGTAAATCTTTATTCGATTTTTTAAGTCCATCGGCGGCGTCCAACATAATTCGCGTATTGTATTTGTTTATGATTTTTTTTATGTAATTGCATTTTTTTTTATGAAAGCAGGAGAACCTGCTAATAAGGGATACGCCTACTTATAACAGTTGTACTCCCACTCAGAGCTTTAAATCGCAAAGACCTGAAGGGTACTTACTGCCACTGCACTCGTCGCCCCGAGACTTAAAATTGACAAATCCCACGTGTGATGCTCAAACTATAAGTAGGTATATTTTCACCACCACCGTGTAAAGATGCTGTCCTCCTTCAATGTCATCTCACATTTTTATCATTCTCTTTTCTAGTTCCTTGGCACTTATTTAAAAAGTTTTGAATCGTTCTCGAATTGTCTTTTCCACTTCTTCTATTCTTGCGTTTATTCTATTCGTCGTCACTCCCATGAAAACTGTCGAAACGAGAGGTTGTGCCATAACTGCCTCTGTGGGCGAACGGTAACCATGCTGGACTACCACGCAGAGGTCCCAGGTTCGATTCCCGGGCCGGGAGAAATATTTGTATAGCCTACATTTATTTCTCTCGTGAGTTTGGGTGTCATTTGTGGTTGTCTGTATGTGTGTCCATGGCACCCGCGACACAGGGTTTCCCTATTGCGGGGCTATGTTTAGTGTGTGCGTTATTATCATTAATTTATCTGGTGAATATACTGTTTGAATGTCTAAAAATGTTCGTATGCGCGTTTATAACGAAGAAACACAAAAGTGGGAGGTAATTATGTACATACATTTTTGGAGAGAAGTGCAAAATGTCGAAGCTACTGAGTAGGTTACCACTATATCTTAGAAAATCCTGCTACGTTCTTGCTACGTTACTATGACTATACAAGGACATCTTCAGGGTTCTCAAACAAGTCAAGGATGAGAAAACTAGATTACGTACAGGCCACAACCCTTACCCTTCAAAATCGAAGCTCATACGAGTATTTACTGCTTGGCGGCAGAAATAGTTACGGTGGCAGTGCTTCCATGGACGAACTTCATGTGTTAAAACTCTCTCTTTATATAAGTAATTAATACAAAGATCGAACATTAAGAACTTCGATTCGGCAGGATTTGAATCAACTTCTTCCAGCAAACTGTGCCAGACGCTACTAAGCCACGGAACGAACCAGCGGACCTTAAGAATTTTTTGATGTGCTTGTTGAAGACTTTATTTTGAGTTTTCAATTACTTTTTGCCGTAGCGCCATCTATGAGAAATCTATGAAAGCTTTCCTTCACTCAGCCACGTACCTTTACAGCTACCAGCAGCTGACTAGAGATGTCGCTTTAATAATTGTAATTTTTAAGTTTATTGAATTTCACGAGGTTTGACCACCATGATATTCGATTATTTTTGTGAAATTACTTCACTAGTATATAATAATAATTAATACAAAGTACGAACACTAAGAAAAAATTCCTTTGATCCGGCTGGATTCGTACCAACGTGGTCTAACAAAAGTTATTAATGTCTTCCAGCAAACGCATATAAGTTGTCACTGGACACATTTTGAAAGCTACAGGTTTCAGTGTTTTACTAACTGTCAATCCTTATTTGTTAAATTGTATATGAAATAAATAAATAAAACGTAGAAGTAAATTATTAGTATTCCTACAGTTGTAAAAGAATGTACTACATATGAAGGAACTTTCACAGATTTGTACATTTAATTTGCTACATATTAAGCTGCGCACTAACCCATCCTATTGCAGTACAGTTGGCGACCACCCTTTGCAAGTTCCGTTTGCGAGCACTAATTATAGAGAAAAAACACGTTGAGACTTTTTAATAATACATCTGCCTCCGTGGCCGAATGGTTACCATGCCGTACTGCCACGCAGAGGTCCCACGTTCGATTCCCGGGCCAGGAGAAATATTTTGTATGGCCTACATTTATTTATCTCGTGAGCTTGGGTGTAATTTGTGGTTGTCTGTGTGTGTCCATGGCACCCGCGACACAGGGTTTCCCTAGTGCGAGGCTATGTTGAGTGTGTGCGTTATTATTATTATATTATTATTATTATTACATCAAAAAATCATTTTGAATTTGATTTGTTTTATTCAAACATAGACACAGTCGGGAGGGAAATGACTAAACGTTACTTTGACACATCACGTGATTGGCGATGATGACGATGTTACACTTAGGTCCACTTACATTAAACTTAAGTAAGTCTTAAACCAATGTTTAAGTTGCGTTACGAGTATCTTATCATTTTAGCATTTGTTTCAGACGTATTTGAGTATAGTGCAATTGGACATAACTTTTGTGTATTTAGTGTTATTTTTGTTTTCATTATTTGGTTACTCAGTAGTTTTTGTGTAATTGTTTTTTTTTACAAATCTCTCTTTGACGTTATTAAGTATTCTAAGTTGTTTGCTAAAGATGGAAATTCGTAAATGGCATTTGATAACTCATGATTGAATATAACTATAATTGTGTATAAAATAAAATATAATTATAGCATTTTTATTTAAAACAAAAGTTTGCTTATCGGTTTTTTTAATGGCATTACACCTATTTGTCAAGTTTTATTGAAATCGGTTAAAGGAATCATCCTCTCATTCTTCATCCCCTAGATTGTCACCCTTAGAGACGGAATAATTTCTTCAAATTTCGAACTTTTCAACAATAAATGAATCACCAAAATCGGTTCACAATTAATGCCGGAGTAATCGCGTAACATACACAAAAAAAACAGTGGAATTGAGAACCTCCTTTTTTAAGTCGGTTAAAAAATAATATTCTCAATATTCATAAACGTTTCATTTCTCTACAGAGTGTACTGATACAATGTGTCGGCCACTTGTACTAATAAAGCGAAACTGAGGTCAAATATTTGAGAAAATACCGTTATTAGGTCGTACGTGTTAAGGTTGCCAGATAGGGCTTCGGTGTATAACACATTGCACTTTGCATGTGGTATGAGTGACTAATACACGTGTGCTACTTAGATTAACTACGTATTTGTACAGCGTATAGAGCACAGTCTCAAGCTTGACATGATATAAATTCAACTCTATGCTGCTTACAATAAGAACGGTACAAAGTTCAACAGCGCATGTTTGATGTGTATCTCTGAACAAAAACCTAAGTGACTTCTTTGTTTCAACTTCCTTTATAAACGGAGATCAGGATTGCCCCCACATAATGTTAATTAGAATTTATAACTACATCCCGAATTACATTATAAAAATGTAAAGATTATTAATAAACGTTATTACGATTTAAACAAATTTTTTGACGACATAAATGATAATTTAACAAATGATAATTTAAAAAAAGTCTTCGACACTTTTATTTCTAAATTACTTAAAATCTAAAAAAAATATGTATTGTATTAAGAATAAATAATTTGATGCAATAAAATTATGCAATAAAATAGTTTGATTTTATAAGTGTAACAATTGCGATAATCTAAGAACTCGTGATGTAGTAATTTTTTCACTTCTCATGTTCTACAATTACGTTAATACAGCCTTACGTAGCGGGAGTGCATCATGTTTTAATCCCTAGGAGTTAAGTAACTACTTTTTTAATATACTTCGAGTGACCTAGACAAACTCAAACAGTACTTGCTCTAGTTAGGGCCAAAAGGTAAAAGTTCGTAAAACAATATAATTACAAACAAAACATAAATATGCGACAAGCTCTTGGCGTCAATCGAGATCTACGTTGGACGCCTATCCTATGATAGCCTGAGAGATGTGACCAAATAGGGTTAAATTCTTTATCGATATGCAAACATAATTTCTTTACTTATAGTGGGGCTTACAACTGCGGTTGTCTTTTTATGTAATAGGTTAGTTACATTGTGCAACAAAGTTCCTTATTATTTTTCTATTCGTGACGGTCAGTGTTTGGCTTTCAGTTCTTATTATTATAATTTAATTTAGTGTTAAGCTGTTGGTCTTCCTACTAGATAAATAAAATAAGTTATATTTTTTCAATGATATTATTTTGACACCTGCAACGCGTCGATGCGTTTTGTTAGATATTCAGTTAGGTATTTCCATATTTCAATCAAAACAGAAGTGTAAACGATTATTATAGATTATGCTTTGAATACAAATATATAAACGGAACATGTATTCGTGGAAATTTCATTTACTAAGAAAATAAATTTTTGGACAATATTTTAATGGCATTTTATAAGACCATCTTCACATTTTCCGCTAATACTTACAAATAACCTTATAATTATTATTGTTCTTTGATTTTTCGTGTTTCATGCCATTATTTTGAGATTTTAATTGTTATTGTTGCGGTTTTTGAAAATGTATCCCCTGATCTTTCATTTATATATATGTATGTACGTCTAAACATTTTAGTCTGAGATGAAAATTACTTGTTATTGGATATTTGTAACAGTTGAGATTTTTCAATTAAAAGTAAAAAAAACTCAACTGTAAAGAAACCCGCACAAGGTCGATTTTGCCTCTAACGAAAGTGTACCATACAGGTTCTCTACATATTCCTCAATACCGGAGTATAAAGCAGAAGCAGAGGTATTATTTTTGCCTTGCGGTTATCGGATGTGGTTAGCGGCAATACGATTTCAAAGAAAGCGTATAGTTTAAACACTTGTTTGTTACCACGTTCTACTGATTTATAATATTCCTTCGTGGTAATCAAAGTTTATTATTTCTCGATTTCTTAGGTTTTCCTTTGAAAATGATATTTTTTTTTAACCAGCCTTGATAATGCAACGGAAGATACTTCGAAAGGTTCTAGGACCAATCAAAAGAGAATTTGGGGACTCGAGGGCCCGATTCAATAGAGAGATAGAAGAACTAGTGTCCGAGCCGAACATAATCGGGAAAATAAAATCTGCTCGACTTCGCTGACTAGGACATGTGGAAAGAATGGGAGAGGATCGAGCTGCCAAAAAAGCGTATTTGGGGCAAACTACGGGTCATCGTCCAGTGGGCCATCCAAGATGTCGTTGGAAGGATGAAGTCGCCAAAGACCTAAAGAAACTGAATATGTCCGAATGGTCGGATTTGGTACAAGACTGACAGAAATGGCGTACTTTGGTGTCGGAGGCCAAGATCAACTTCGGGTCTATGAGCCTGCAATAAGCAAGTGATAATGCAACCTGTAAAGAGCCTAAAACGTTGGTTTTAATTGAAAAAGAAAACAAATGTTACGCGATTTAGATCCGGGAAAAATCCTTTGATTAACAGGATATTTATTAATTTTTATTGAATTGATATTCAAATATTTTTTTATGTGAAATGACTCCACTAGTTTGTTATAATTATTAATACAAAGATCGAAAACTCAGAAAAAATTCCTTCGATCCGGCCGGATTCGAACCGACGTCTTCAAGCATATCGTGCCAGACGCTATACCAACTAAGCCACGGAACGAACCCGCGGATGTCATGTGCTTGTTGTCGTGTCTTTGTATTTGGTTTTTCAACGACTTTTTAGCCGTAGCGTCATCTATGAAAGTATTTCGTCACCTAGTTTGATACCTTTACAGCTACCAGCCCCGGCTAGAGATGTCGCTATTCACTGCATTTAAATTTTTATTGAATTGATATTCAATTATTTTTTATGGGAAATTACTCTACTAGTTTGTTATAATTATTAATACAAAAATCGAGCACTCAGAAAAGCAGGATATTATTTCTATTTATAAGTAGAAGCATGGACACAAGCTCAGACGTCAAGCCTTCGAAATGTCGGTTTATTGAAGAATGTTGAAAATATCGTGGATGGGCACAGCCACAGAAGATGCATAAATAGGCTTGGAGCTCCTAAAAACAGTAAAAAGGAGGAAGCTGCAGTATTTCGAGTACATCGCGCGGATTGAAAAATACTTTCTACTGCAACTCATTCGGAAAGGAAAAATCCAGGGCCGCAGAAGACGTGGTCGTAGAAAAACTACATGGTTTCAAAATCTTGCCGAATGGTTGAAAAGGAGTACCACAGAACTGTTCCGAGAGCCGCAACTTCACGTATTCAAGTAATTTTAAAGATAGCCGACCTCCGGTAGGAGATGTCACCCCAAGAAGAAGAAGAATTCTAAAAATAGTAACTTTACATAGACACCCTTAAAACATTAACATATTACTTAAGAGAGATATAGTTGAGGTTGTCCTGGCGTGGTTACCCCGTTGGACATGCTGGCGGAGAGGGACGCGCGTCTCCGTCGACGGAGGAAGCTACGCCGCCAGAAGTGCGGTTTCAGGAGTGCTGACGCGCGTTCGAGAAGTGGCGGGCCAGCGCGCCTTCAGCGTGATCCTGCCCACCCTCGAAATCTGGTTGGGCCAGCGGAAGTGCCACATTGTGATACTCATCGGGCATGAATGCTTCGGTGAGTATCTGAATCGAATCGGACGGGACCACCACTGTAGGAGGGACCCGGATTCGGCCCAGCATACGCTGGAGGAGTGGGCGTGGGCCTCCGAGCGGAACACCCTGGCTGCTCGGATCGGGCGAGGTCTCTCTCCGTCAGGCATGGTAGCAGCTGTGCTGGCGGATCTAGAATCCCATGAGGCTGTGGTCTCCTTTTGTGAAGCGGTGATACTCCAGAAGGTGGTCGCCGAGCGTGTGGCCCGCTTCGTCGTTAGGAGGGG